GCTTTTATTAGCCACAAAAGAAAAAAATTGCACCACTTCTTGGCCATTCACCCCTGGTTATCACGATCTTTCATTATAATTGTACTATTATTTTTCAAATTCACGTCAAATTGTTAGGCAATCTCTATACGTTTAATTTATGAAATTAAGCCCTCATTCGGTAACAATTTTTCACTCCAAAATTAACTTTTTGATTGTTATTTCACTATTACAGTTGTCATTTTTGACTTCTTCACTTACGGGTGAAACTCATTTTTCTCTTTAATGGTCAAAAAAATAATTCTCATAATCACTATCGAAAGAGCCCTAAATTTCGCTCTTCAACTCGAGATGGGTCCTTAAAAAATTTGATGTGTAAGATTGTTGATATTTTAATATTTACGAAGATTGATTGCGCAATTAAAGATTATGGATGAATCTGATCTATTTTAAAAGTTAAGGACTAACTTGTTAGGGAGAAAATAGATGTGGCACTTTTTCACCATTCAAATAGCTAAATTGCCAAATTTGTTGTCACATTAAGCCAAAGTATATTGTAACGTCTGTTGTAATAAATAAGGCTCTAACTCGTTTTTATCACTTTAAACTTTTAAATAAGATGCTCCACTATCATAATGTTACAGGACTCCTTTTTAATGAGAAAACAAAGAACCTGACCTTTAGATGAGGCGTTTTTAAGATATTCTAATATGATATTGTTTTACGAGCGTTAAATTGACTTAAATTAAAGGTTACAATTATTTCTTAAATTAGTGTGTCAATTTTTGTGAGTAGGAGGATCGCCTCGTTATGACAATAATGTATCAAAAATGTTGGTCACTTCCCATTTGCAATGAAATGATGATGTAATAAGCTGTCAAAAATGTATTGGGGTGTTCACAAAATTGGAACAACAGATCTATTCCCATAGCTAAACCAAAAACTCCACATCGACCATAAGGATAATTATACCATTGTCCATCGATACAATCCGTTACAAAACAGACACATGATAAACAATATTATAATCAACTCTGCTGTGTGTATAGCAGGCTTCATACAGAAGCCTGCCAGAATACACACATGGGAGGAGGGTATTTTTTGGTAATTTTTTATTCACGGTGGGTCCCACACACAAGAGTTATCTGGCCAAATTCTGTGGAAAATTTTCTGTACAAATGGCTTAATACTATTATAATAGCCAACATCTCAGTCTAAATTAGACAACAACATTACAAAGCCGAAGTTACATGGATGAGTTACGCAAGCCTAATGAGAAAAATATTTCAAATGACCGACTTAATCAACAGAAACGAAACTATGGCATGATACATGTATCGGTCAGAACAGAAGGTGGATTTGGAGGGATAGTTAATCTGTGACTTGTCATCTTCTGCTTATAATCACAAGGGAAGCAAATAACGGAATTCAGAGGCATAAGGCTGAATCTCTAAAACTTGTGACTTATTTGTTTCGCTATTTACTATACACTCCATAATCAACCTTTTCAAAGAGGAGTTGCTTGGATGTGGCAGTTGGCTGTAAATCCATTCTAGCAGTGAATCCATGTCATCAGCAAAATCTTTCATGTGCCATTGCATCAGCTTCGGCACTAAAATCTTTTTCTTGCTTGTAATTCCAACTGACGCTTCCAAAAACTCTACTTTAGCTCTCTCTAATTCATTCACGACTTCATCAGTCGTGTAAATCCTTAACTGCCAAATATTTTGAACCAGTATAAATTTCGTGTAAACAATGTATAACTGCATAGATATGTTGAACTACTTACGACTGGAGGACGCTCGCTTTTATTAGCCACAAAAGAAAAAAATTGCACCACTTCTTGGCCATTCACCCCTGGTTATCACGATCTTTCATTATAATTGTACTATTATTTTTCAAATTCACGTCAAATTGTTAGGCAATCTCTATACGTTTAATTTATGAAATTAAGCCCTCATTCGGTAACAATTTTTCACTCCAAAATTAACTTTTTGATTGTTATTTCACTATTACAGTTGTCATTTTTGACTTCTTCACTTACGGGTGAAACTCATTTTTCTCTTTAATGGTCAAAAAAATAATTCTCATAATCACTATCGAAAGAGCCCTAAATTTCGCTCTTCAACTCGAGATGGGTCCTTAAAAAATTTGATGTGTAAGATTGTTGATATTTTAATATTTACGAAGATTGATTGCGCAATTAAAGATTATGGATGAATCTGATCTATTTTAAAAGTTAAGGACTAACTTGTTAGGGAGAAAATAGATGTGGCACTTTTTCACCATTCAAATAGCTAAATTGCCAAATTTGTTGTCACATTAAGCCAAAGTATATTGTAACGTCTGTTGTAATAAATAAGGCTCTAACTCGTTTTTATCACTTTAAACTTTTAAATAAGATGCTCCACTATCATAATGTTACAGGACTCCTTTTTAATGAGAAAACAAAGAACCTGACCTTTAGATGAGGCGTTTTTAAGATATTCTAATATGATATTGTTTTACGAGCGTTAAATTGACTTAAATTAAAGGTTACAATTATTTCTTAAATTAGTGTGTCAATTTTTGTGAGTAGGAGGATCGCCTCGTTATGACAATAATGTATCAAAAATGTTGGTCACTTCCCATTTGCAATGAAATGATGATGTAATAAGCTGTCAAAAATGTATTGGGGTGTTCACAAAATTGGAACAACAGATCTATTCCCATAGCTAAACCAAAAACTCCACATCGACCATAAGGATAATTATACCATTGTCCATCGATACAATCCGTTACAAAACAGACACTTGATAAACAATATTATAATCAACCCTGCTGTGTGTATAGCAGGCTTCATAAAGAAGCCTGCCAGAATACACACATGGGAGGAGGGTATTTTTTGGTAATTTTTTATTCACGGTGGGTCCCACACACAAGAGTTATCTGGCCAAATTCTGTGGAAAATTTTCTGTACAAATGGCTTAATACTATTATAATAGCCAACATCTCAGTCTAAATTAGACAACAACATTACAAAGCCGAAGTTACATGGATGAGTTACGCAAGCCTAATGAGAAAAATATTTCAAATGACCGACTTAATCAACAGAAACGAAACTATGGCATGATACATGTATCGGTCAGAACAGAAGGTGGATTTGGAGGGATAGTTAATCTGTGACTTGTCATCTTCTGCTTATAATCACAAGGGAAGCAAATAACGGAATTCAGAGGCATAAGGCTGAATCTCTAAAACTTGTGACTTATTTGTTTCGCTATTTACTATACACTCCATAATCAACCTTTTCAAAGAGGAGTTGCTTGGATGTGGCAGTTGGCTGTAAATCCATTCTAGCAGTGAATCCATGTCATCAGCAAAATCTTTCATGTGCCATTGCATCAGCTTCGGCACTAAAATCTTTTTCTTGCTTGTAATTCCAACTGACGCTTCCAAAAACTCTACTTTAGCTCTCTCTAATTCATTCACGACTTCATCAGTCGTGTAAATCCTTAACTGCCAAATATTTTGAACCAGTATAAATTTCGTGTAAACAATGTATAACTGCTTAGATATGTTGAACTACTTACGACTGGAGAAGACCAGGTGCCTCGGCAAAGAGCAAATGTGACATTGGGTTCTGGATAACCAAGACCATATGTATGCCTCAGAAGCATCTCTTTCTCATCTATTAGCTCCTGTATGCACATATTCACGACTTCATCAGTCGTGTAAATCCTTAACTGCCAAATATTTTGAACCAGTATAAATTTCGTGTAAACAATGTATAACTGCTTAGATATGTTGAACTACTTACGGCTGGAGAAGACCAGGTGCCTCGGCAAAGAGCAAATGTGACATTGGGTTCTGGATAACCAAGACCATATGTATGCCTCAGAAGCATCTCTTTCTCATCTATTAGCTCCTGTATGCACATACTCCATTACGTATAATATGTCACAAGCATTTTATCCACAGAACGTAGTAAGATTACTATATATCTAATGGACCATCATGTTTACAGTCTTATTTTATCTCGGAGATTCCTTGGGAATTTGGTAAGTTCATGCAATAAACTTGAGCTGTTATCATTATGGTCCAAGAAACTTCTAAGATCAATTGTTCCTTTTTTTTTTTTTTTCCTTGGTTGAACATGAATTTGACTGTAACATTAGTTAAAACATCTTCACTTACACGTTCAGAGTCTGCAGGGTGGCGGAGGATGAAATGTTCAATTGCCAGAGCATTGAGTACAATCCCACCAACATTAATTGTTGCCTGGATCATAACTATCCATCACGAATATTGTCGTATTGTCAAAACTAAGTTAATTAAGTACTCCACATGTTAAACTACATACCTCGTTCATGAGTGCCAGAAGTTTCTCTGGTGTGGAGGGCAAGCCATGCTGTAGAAATGCCTGTAATTTAATGGAAGTTTCATTAATTTAACTACGCATTTTTATGCTGTTTATCTGTTTTTCTAAGAATTAAAGTCTTGAAATAATGTCTCACAGTACATTCATTATGCAGGCGTTATAGATATTAATCCAGAATGCCAACTTCTGCTTGTAGGTGAAGTAAGTTATGTTCACTTTGCTGAGTTTGTGCATTAAAATCCTACACAAAAGAATGCCTAGTGTCAAGTAGCCATCAGGATAATCATACTGTAATTTATCGGAATCTCTGAAGTACCTCAACTTTCCCATGGCTGGAAGGCATTCAGAGAGACGGCTTTTGTCCAAGGAAGCTCTTGTGATTTGGATGAAGTTGTTATACGGTCCAACATCTCTGACGGTATCAATGTCAGACAATATTCTATAAGGATCAAGATTAGATTCACATTGATCGAATGAGGGAAATGTCGGCTCTATGCAGCTGAAAGCGGTTGTTTTTGACATGAAGCCTTTTGAGTTGATGCAGTTGAGAGAATGCTGCTTCTCTGATATTTTTTTGCTCTTGAATGTTGTCTGATTTAGATTCAGATATATGCTCATTAAGCACCTAATCAGTTCTTCTGACAGCTTATTTGGCCTCATAATTTCACTTCCCAAATTGATTTGATTAAGTATGGCGCTCCTTGACCATCTTGAATTCTCTACTATGCCTTCTGTTCAGACCAACCAAATAATAGGGTGGATTTCAGAATTTGCTTCAAGGTAAACCACAAATAAGTGCTATTTTTTATTTTTTTGTTCAGACCAACCAAATAATAGGGTGGATTTCAGAATATGCCTCAAGGTAAACCACAAATAAGTGCTATTTTTTTATTTCCTTTTATTTTTATTTTACTTTTGATGGGAATGGGTGTCAGATCAAATAGAAAGGAAAAAAATTACCATGGATCCTCAGACAAGTTGTGCTTTGAAATTCTGTGGGGGCTCTTCTTTCTCTCCCAACGTCATACTTTCGATACTCATAATCTGATGATCTGCTAAGAATTTCAGTTTCCTTGGACTCCACTTGGTTTGGCCGCCAGGAAGGTAACTTGTGTAATTGGCGTTGAATCTGTTGTGGCTGAAATTCTTTCAACTTCAGCAATTCCCATTCTTTGGTCTGCTTCTTTTCTTGGTAAACATTCAACTTGAGCTCATTTATCTTTCTCTCCAGCCAACAAATCTCTTCTTCCACTAATGCTACTTCTGCTAGAAGCACTTGAACCTGCATTTGATATAGAACTTGAATTGGTCATTTGGAATTCATATTCAATCTTCAAATATGGTTTTCACAAGGGATAACAATGCGTTATCTAAAAGGATACCCATCAAACTTGTATTCAGAAGGTTTTTTTTCTTTTCTTCTGTGAGCCACTTGAACGCTAGACAGAACATCAAATTACTACCATACACAACAGCAGAGAGTTTTATCCCAAATTAGAGCAGTTGAATTCTCGGGACTTCGGGGAAGTTTTAAATTAATATATACTTTTTTCTTCCTCCGGATTGATGCATAGTTGGGTACGAACAAAAACAAGGAGAATTCTGCAATGCCTCTATCAACTTCATCTATATATTTATCAAAAGGAAACTACTAAAACCTCAATACCTCTAAAAGGATAAAAATGTAACAGAATGAGAGCAAAAAGGAAGTAGTACAGCACGAATTGCCCATTGTTTGTTTATTGGGTTTGGAACCTTAAACTTATATATCCAAATTATTGACTGAAATCAAGATAATTTGAATCTCATGCAATGTACAAGTTGGCATGCATTGCGCTACATTTGTCAACGTTTGAGTGCCTTAAGATCATTTGGACTAACGAGGGAAAAATCCAACCACGCGATTGCTTCATTCCTCGGAGGGGTAACCTAATGACTAACAGTTGTGGTGAAACTAAAAAAAGCAGCATGAAATATTTGGGAGAGACCGCTGATTATAATAGACAATGACCTCTGTCCTCAAAGCTACATTTTCCTCTAATTATCAACAAAATTGGAGACCTGAGGTCGTTCTTATCTTAATCGATTTTATCACTCCGTGGCAAGCATGCATCGAAAACTTCCACTGCGTTCATTACGCCAGAATTTTATATTAGCTTAAATGTCTTCAAAGGACAAGGTAATTTAGGTAATGTTATTGCCAATCAAGACCAAGTTGCCTAATGCTTTGACAGCAAACAATAAACAGACGAGGCAACAGAAAACAACTCGAAACTCTCTGATCCTATTTCAACTTTCCAAGATTTCCCACCCCAGAAGACCCCCAGCTAGAAAAATCTCTCAATTGTTAAAACGGCTTTAATACTAAGAAAAGGAAAATAGCTACCATTAACAGTATAATTATGTGATTGTTAGGGCTTTGAAAATTTATATCGCTTTGAATTAATTGAATACATCATGGTCACGTAGTCTTAGTGTCTTATTCTCCTTTTTCACACAGAGAAGCAACGTTTTCAAGGAAACGGATAACAGCTAATTTATGAATTAAAAACACTTATTACCTTTTGTGGTAGCAACAAGGAGACGCATGAACAGGAGTGAATTGACCCATACAATGCACAATTCAAAACTTTGTTCAGTTGCAGCTCCCCATTTAATTCACGCTGCAATTCCTCCACCTGCAAAATTAAACAAGGGTGATGAGAAATGTATCAACTCTATCCCAAAAAACTGAAATTCATTCTCACTCACCTCCTCCTCTAGCTGTTCTCTTGTTTGTTTCTCCTCACTTGCCTGCATCAGAAAATCTTCGAATTTCATAATTCAAAACAGCCACAAGCAAGCAATCATGAAATCCTCCATAAAAACCCGAAGTCCTTGTTGTGATATGCTTTCGATTTAATAGTTTCGGGCTTAAATTGATGAAGACAAATGGCGAAGAATACATGGAATATGCGTGTGTGCGCATTTTAGAGAACGTGAATCCACCGATGGCGTTTAACTTCAACCAGGAGTTGATAGACGTGAAGCCCATGAACAGTTTTAACATCTAACAGTTGGTGTTTAAGATTCCGACTCGACCCGGTTCTATGACACGGTCGACACAGTTTATGGCCCGGTTTGTGTCAAGCTTATGACCTTTTTTTAGTAATTGAAAATAGATTATTGAGATGAAAAACATTCTAAATTATTGAAATAATAATTATGTAACACATTAAAGAGCAATGGTTTATGCAAAACTACTATTTAAGTACAATTTCAATTAGGTTCATCTATTAACTATCGATTATTTTGTATAATCGTAGTTTATGTACATTTTAACTAAATTGTCATCGATAGATTCTAAAATGGGTAGATAATCCATCACCAAAATGATATCAATTAAATTCAATGATCTTTTCACATGTACGTAAAAAGTTAAGAAAACCTCGAAAAATATTTACATTTTAAACATTGGAGATATAAGCATTTCGAATTGAATTGCTTTAGAAAGAAGACATTTTGTTTCATGATAGTCTGCTCCAATGTCATAATGAAACTTTAGTTATTGGGTGAAGTGTCGTGCAACGGTGCAAGAGGCTGAAAGCTTTAGGTCTCGTTGGGTAGGGATTAAAATTCGATTTTAATCTAAATTAAAGTTAAACAATCAATATTAACTACATTTTCCATGGATCTCACAATTGTTCGACTACACGTTTCAAATTTTTTTATTACAATCTACTAAAAACTCTAATTTTAATCCCTATCAAACACCTTCTTAGTTTCAGATTTTAGGATTTTATGGATAATTTCCAACCTTCCATGGATATGTTAGCAAAAAATTTGGGGAAAGGTGAACAAATAGAATAAAAATTAGACAAAATTTATATAAATAGTTGACAGCACTTGAAATGGTATAACTCAATACAATCGCACAACAATTGCCTACATTAATCACACAACCGGATGAATGGAGCATAAATTAGGTAGCCAAAAAACAAATATAGCTATTCTTATTTTCATCATTGTCAACACCACACGCTCTGCTACCATCTTTCGATCCACCCCTCGTGCCTCCACCTCCTTTGCATTTCCTTGCATCATCGCTTCCCTCACCAAATCTATCGTCTTTACGAGCAATTGTGGAAGTTAGGAGGAGGCAAATAATCCAGAACACTAAAACATATTTTATGGCACACTACATCTTTTCAATTTCTTAGCGAAAGTACAAAGAATTGAAATCTTTTTAGTCCTTTAAGAATAAATTCATTGGATGGGGAACTTGCAAAACGTCCTCTTGCTGGTAGGGCCTTTGCACCCCCAAAAGGAAAAGCCTCCCTGCACAGACCCTTTTGCACAGGATTTGTACAGAGGCTGTCATATGAGGGTGGGCTTGTCCAATTGATATCAAAATTCAACTTAAATCTTATTTGAGGGAAAAGTTCTGAATTCGAATTTTGAGGAATGCGATAGAAAGTCGTACAGGGTAAGTGGACGCAAGGCCCACCCAAAATTGACAGTACGTAAGCTAAGGGTTTGATTACAGAGACTCGGGGTTGTTATACTTCCATGTGACAGCCCTGTGCAAAGGCGTTTGTGAAGGTAGCACAAATCCCTCCAAAATATAACAAGAGGAAAATGGTGATTTGATAGCATGTGATTGAATGTTTTTAGAATTAACCTGCTTGAACAGGCCAAAAAACTGGGCTAAATCTTGGATCTGGAAAAAAGAGAAGAAAAAATGTGAAATCGGGGGTTGAGTTTTGAGCTTGGCACTGAGCCTGGCTCGATGGCACGGCTGATGTTTTTATATGTCTTTGGTTTTTTTAATGAAAATATGTCAGAAGTGTTGTCTAAATCGGAGAGATCCAAAATTTATACTCTGTGCACCTCCAAAATAAGTTTTAAATTTTTTTATATAGAGTAGTAGATTTTCCTCTCATCTCATATGCGTCATAAAAATGGCCGCCACCTCACCGATGATCCCAATCTCGAACCCCCAATCGGAATCCGGTGCCCCCATCGCCGCCACACCGGCCTTTCGCAGTTTTCTGTCTCGTCTGTCGGCCACCGTCCGGCATGGCCTCTCCCAACGCCGCCCCTGGTCGGAGCTACTCGACCGATCATCATTCTCTCGTCCCGACTCCCTCTCTGACGCCGTTTCCCGCATTCGGAATAACTTCTCCTACTTTCGCGTCAATTATATTTCTCCAATTGCATTGTCCCTCGCTCTCTCCTAGGGATGTAAACGAGCCGGGCCGAGCCGGCTCGCGAGCCTAAAGTTTCGGCTCGGGCTTGGCCCGGTTAAAGTGACCGAGCTTTTTTGCGGGCTCGAGCCGAGCCGAGCAAAAGCTCGGCCAAAAAAAATAGGCTCGGTCCGAGCTTTTGCTCGGGCTTTTTACGGGCCGAGTCGGGCAGCTGCTGTCTTTAAAAGGTAGCAGTTTTGCCTTTAAATTATTTTTTTTGTTTTTTTATTTTTAAAAGATCGCGAGCTCACGGGCCGGCTCGGGCAAAGCCCGTGTCCCCAAAATGGGGCTCGGCCCGAGCTTAGGCTCGAGTCTACCGAGCCCTGAGCCGAGCCGAGCCGACTCGAGCTTTTCCCGAGCCGAGCCACGGGCGGCTCGAACCGACGAGCCCGATTGCCATCCCTACTCTCTCCCTCCTCTCCCACCCAATTTCACTACTTGTATTACTGGCTCTAATCGCCGCCTGGATCTTCCTGTACCTATTCCGGCCTTCGGATCAACCGGTTGTTATCGGTGGACGTACGTGTTCTGATCGTGAAATTCTGGGGATTTTGGTGGTGGTCACCATAGTTGTTGTGTTTCTCACAAGCGTTGGATCACTGCTCATCTCGGCGTTGCTTGTTGGTTTAGCTGTCGTTTGCACTCATGGTGCGTTCAGGATGCCGGAGGATTTGTTTTTGGACGATCAGGACTCGTCCAACGCTGGGTTTCTCTCGTTCCTCGGTGGTGCTGCTTCTTCTACCGCTGCAGCAGCAGCTCCGGCCGTCGCTACCAGGGTATAATTTTACTAATAATCCTAGGTAAGGTTGGTTTTGGTTTAAATTTCATGATTAATTGAATAATATTCAATTGATCGTTAGATGAAATTATGAGGAACTGTACTGGACCCATTTTGGGAAATTCGTTTCTGCTTTTGTCATTAAATAGATTAGATCTTTGACCTGTAATATCTGTGACCAAATGCACCGTATAATGTTTCTTAATGTTCTCGAATGATGCTTAGACTTCTTACACAATTGATTTTATAGTGCAATGCTGGTTGCTGGATAAATTGTAATGAAGGTTATCAGTGAATACCTTAGAAAATTGCACAAGTTTAGTCTGAAACGCGTGCACAATATTGGGAACTTGTTGGCCTTTGCCATTACCCACGTTTAAGATGGTGTTTATTATGGAAATTTGTAACCTGATCATGGCCATTTTTATTATGAGGAACTGTGTTGAACCCATTTTTGGAAATTCATCATTACTGCTTTTCTTAACAAGGTTAGATCTTTGACTTGTAACATCTGTTTCAAATGCATTGTGTGATGTTTGTTAATGTTCTATAGTGATGCTTAGATTTCTTAAAAAATCAACTTTATAGTGAAATGCTGGTTGCTGGATAAACAGTTTTGAAGGTTATCACTTAATATAGACAAGTTTAATTGGTTAGTTGAATTTAAAACACATTGACACTTTGGGAACTTGTGGCCATCCCCATTGTCCATGTGAACTATCATAAATGCATCAAACTTTGAGATGGTATGTACTATGGAAAATTTGGAGCCTGATCTTGACCACTTTTATATAGCATTACAAGGTTTTTATTTCTCAAAGCTTGATGTAAGTATTATTCCTTCAATTTAATATTGGTTTATTTAGATAATTCGCTACATCAGGCGTTTAGATCAGGGAGTAGTATTTGAGATTTTGCTAGAACTGCAGTATGGTAGATCAGGGAGCAGTATATGAGATTGTGCTAGAACTGCAGTATGGTAGGTGACTTTGTTTGAGAAAACCACTCATCGTAGCCATTATTCTCGTGTTTTTTTTTTTTAAAAGCTTAGGAAGAAGTGCATGGAATTAGATGACATTCTAAAACTGTAGGGTTAAGTGTGCTAGATGATATATTTGAGGGAACCTACAACTTGTGGGAATCTAGCATGGAGTTATATCAGAGAATGGAGGTGCACGGCGAACTAATGTTGCTGATTGTAGTAACTTTGGTACGGATCAAGTATCGTTAATGAGGTTGAAGAGAAAAACTATTGGGGAAGAGATGAAACTAAGATATGTATATGCAAGACTATAATTAGTAGATTACATACACTTAGGAGTGTAGCATACCTTGGATGTCCTAGCACAATGAATGTTACATTCTATCTGTTAATGATGGTATTTAAATGACTAACGACAGGTAGCATGCTTGTGGAAGTGAATCTGGTGGGCTTGATCTTCGTGCCCTCGTCTTGTTTTCCTTTCAACTTCAGTTGCATGTCTAATATATCTTTTGTTTTGGCTGCCATTCAATCTCACCATGTCCAAATCATCTGGTCTTAAAAACTGGTGCTTTAGGGCTGGTTGAAGTGCATACTTTCATGCAATAGTGGCAATTAAGATATCAAAATTCAGTGATTGTAAACATCGTCGTTTACTTGAGTCTGAAGGAGATAGATGAGTTTGACTTTGGTTTTCTAAGGCAGCAAATATTTTTATTAACTGTATGGTTGCGCAGATGCTGTTTAGTCTGTATTCTTCTATGCCGTCATTGTTGAATCAGTCAGATTTATTTCCTTGTAATGGAAGACTTTGTTTCACTGATAAGAAATCCGATACTATCAATCAGCAATAATATGGAATGGTGTGCATTGTATGAAATACGGAAATGTTAGAATGCTTGGTTGCTGGAAGGGGGGTGGCAGGAGGAAGCACTCCAACGCCTTGAGATTTTATAGTAGAAAAATAAAATTGAGAGATTTTTTGACTGATAGAGTTAATTAGTTTCCTTGCCTTGCCTTTGAGGTCAGTATAAATGGAAAAATGTGTGGCTCTTTCTTGGTGTGAAAGTTTTCTTGAAGGACAAGTTTAATTTGGGGGCAATTTGCTTAGTAAACAAGTTTCCTGGGTCCAAGTTTCTTGGGTCGACTAGAAAGTCAAACTGAAAAAATGTATCGGGATATTTTTTCTACGTCTGCCATGCGGATATGGTTACAGCACAACTCATTTAGGATTGTCTTCTTGTTGGACTAGATAGGCTCCAAATGCGAAGATTTGAATCATGGCTCATCAATAAGATTCTAAGTATTTGATATGAGAATGTTGCATGTTGGTAAAAGCAAATGCATGTTGAACTAAAGTCGATTTTCTGGCTACCCAGGTTCAGATTTGTTAAAAAATGCAAAACAAAGTTGAACTATAATTTGAATATCAGATTATAATAACTTAATAAGAATGCGAATAACGAATCTTAAGTTCTACTGGGGAACATGGATACGATGAACAGACTGTAAACACTGAGTTAAATGACATTTAAGCTTGGCTTAATGCAGTTAATTTGTTAATAGAGCAGAGCTAAATCTGAACGAGGTTTGTTTAAATGAGATGAGCTTGAGATCAAGGGCGCTGCCCTGAGCTCCAATCCGTTATATTTTCTCCAATCCGTTTTATTTTATTTTAGCATTAGTGCCGAAATCTGTTTAGTCCACTCCTCTTCCCCTCCCACCCCAAAAAAAAAAATAATAATAAAAAGGAAAAAAAAAAAGAAAAAAAAGACCAACCCTCTCAACCGCCTTACCTTTATGTTGATCTTAATGGAGCTTCAAGAAAGCTATTCGAGTTAAACCTGTTTTAAAAGCTTAACCCAGCATGGGGAAACAGAAACATGAGTTACTACAAGTGTATTTGCACATTTCTACTTTTTGTTGGAACCTTTAGATTCTGTAGTCATATGATCTCTGTGTTTTCACTTCTCTCGTGTCCTTGGTAAAATTGTCCTATGAGAGTTTTGTTTTTGATCTTTTGAATGACAATGGATTGTTGCTACGGGTTGTAAACTTTATTGTAGCCAGCTTGGCATTTAGGAGTTACATTAGAGTTACATGGTATCGGTAAGTTATACATTGCCTAATTTCATATGTTGTTGACTTTGCGCTGTGTCCATTTGTGGTTATCTCCATTGGCCTTATGATGCTTGAATTAGTTTGGCTTGTATCTTTCCATCCATTGTTTATGCCATTGAATTCTACTAGAAAATATTCAAAAAAAAAAAGGTTAAAATCTTATGTATTATGGACTAATATCTATCACACACAATGGGCATGCCATGAAGTAGTCAAATTAGAAGAAAGATTATATTTTGGTTCTAAACTACCAATAATCTAGCAGTATTATAAACTACGAATATTTTTCACTTGAACATATTGATATATTTGATACTTTGTTACTGTGCATTTATTTGTAATTTTTTTTCTTGTTTTCAAGTGCTAAAATTGAATAAATTATGCTATATTTGTTGTTTACCTCATATCAAGTAGGACGTGATACATGAAAAAGTTTAAAACCTTAATTTTGTTTTGCCTACATCTATGGATGTCTATTAGTGATTGGGAGTAGACCGACGGAGGGAATGAGGAGAGGGCGGGTGCCTTTGTACCCGAATCCGTTGGAGGAAGGACAATTATCCACTGCACTCTAATCTAGTGGATAGTGATTTATGAAAAGCCAATGTTGAACCATGTCATGGAACTAAGACAACTATTCTTGCGAATATTATCGTTGAGTCGACATTTTTTATGGATAATGTGGGGTCTATGGCATAATTTGACCGTGTACCCTCCCTTTCGTTCCAAGTTAGCACATTTGTATATCCTGCAGAGCTTGACAGCAACACGGCATTGTGAAAATGATCTTACTATCCGGTGGCATAAATTCTCTCTTGATAGCCACCCTTTATCAATGTGTATCTAGTGACATAAGATCAGGCATATATGTGTGTGTGTGTGTGAGAGAGAGAGAGAGAGAGAGAGAGAGAGAGAGAGAGAGAGAGATTTTGACATCATCATATCTCATTATATTATGTGTATGTAAGTCGTTATATAAATTATTATTTACATGTAGTACAATTAATCAAAAATTGAGGGGGATTGGTTCCTTTTTTTTTTTTTTAGTTGATAGAGATTTTCATCTAATTAAATCTCATCCATCATCGGTAGGTAAATTAATCAAATTGTAATGTATATTTGGAATCAATGTCCAAATTGCCTATGCTACCGTATTATTAAAAGAACAACCTTTCCCCCTATTGAAAAGAAACTTCGCGCTAAGGGAAGTTTCGACCATATCCATTCTAGGCTCAAGAGAATGTTTTGGGTTTAGAAAGTTAAAGATACCACATCGACACTTCAACCAAAAATTTATCAGAACTATATTTTTTGAACTTTTTAAGGCCGATTTATTGAAATACTTTCGTAATGAACTAATGTGCCATATTTCTATCATTCCCGAGCTTTTGCCCGAGGATTCCAGATGACCTCCCCCTGTTGTCGCACGTCGTTGTGCTCAAGATTTGTGGTCCTCGAGCTGATAACTTGCTCGAGGATAGGTAATCATGCGGTGATGACATTTTGCGATAGGCATCTCGAGATAGGTGGTCCTTGAGTAGGGCTGCTTCTTGAAGGCCCACGACAGTTGTCATTGACCTAATAGGATTTCTATGTACTTGGGACTTTAACCCTATCCAAATACATCAACGCTTGACTCCAACAAGGACTCCATCTTGAACGCCTCACTACAATGACTTACAATTAGAGTATAAATCCAACTCCTCGAGCATTTAGCCAGTTCAGTCCTACTAAGAGTGCATCTACCTACATCTATAAATATCAAGCATTGGGTTATTATTCAAATACGTATTCATTATTTCCAATTTATAGCGCCACACACAAATTTCCTTTCTGATTGAAGCATCGGAGGGTCGTCGAGTACACACCTCATTACCTTTATTTCAGATGCCAAAAGACCATGACCATGCTCATTTGCAATCCTCAAGCTTGGGAAAACATCAGGTGCAGATTTTTGATAGCATCATGAACTTTTACCGTTACTAGTCAGAAAAAGGTCAAAAAAGCGTAGACATGTTTTTAACTTTTTTTCGTTTGGTATGGATTAAAATTTACTAAAAATTTCGAATTAAAATTATTAATTTTAATTATATATTTATTATATCCACAATTTTTTAGACCATATATTTTATAACTTTTATAAAAATTTAATTTTAATCTAGATCATAAACTTTGTTTGCAACTTGCAGAAGGGGGATTTGCTCTAGAGTAGCCTCGAACCTACGCGTAAAAACATATTGGACCCAACAAGAGAGTGGTTGTTTAATTAAACATTAAAAGTTCAAAAATACCATCTTTAAAAAGTGAAATTACTTCGGGACCAAGCAAACAGTACCCCAACCCACGTGTGAATCGAGAAGGTTCGTGTCACAACGAGTCGCATCCTTGTAACCATAAACGCGACTAAGTAATCGATGCGTCACCAGTGACAATAACAGGATTAATTAATTAATATAGGCGTTTAGATATGTTTCGAGGAAATATCTAGAGAAGGCTATAAATATCGCTGCAGCTGTGACAATCGAAGATTCTTATCTCTGATATTCTTCATTTTGTACTAAGACATAGGGCTGGGCAAATCTCCCGAACCGAACCGACCGAACCGAACCCGAACCGAACCGATCCGAACCCGACGGTTCTTGTCAAATTAAATACCCGAACGGGTATCTGAATTGAGAACCGACGGGTATGGTTCGGTTCTCGGTTCTAGACCAAGAACCGAAGAACCGAATAAGAACCGAATCTTTCTATTTTTTTTTATATTGAGTAAATCAAATTATTTTAATTTTAATTTTTTCTAAACAAATTAACAAATTAATGATTTCTAAATCCAAATTTTTGGCCCAATAATTTGTTTCATTTCTAATTTTTTAATTTTTGGCCCAATTACTCATTTTATTATTTCATTTCTTAGCCAAACAAGATCAAATATACTAAATAACCCTAA